ATCTCGTCGCTCTATTAAGGAATAAAGGATGGAATGACGTGTTTATCGGTGAAATAAAGCATGTATCATATTTCTTGCTCTCCCTCTTCTAGTTTAACTGCACCAGTCTCTTTGTCGGCGTCATCGTAAGCAATGTTCATATAACTGGGTAAGGGAACTCCAGAAGTGTGKTCTGCCTGTCTTTTAACTGTTGGTGAGGACTTGGCTGCCTGTACTCCTGACAARAAGAAAAAAACAATAGGAATAAAAAGTACCATTCTAGAACTCATTAATAATTCAAGACCTATTAGTCCAAAGAGCAACGAACTATTGGGTCACATGATGGGCCTTTATATACCGATAAAACACGCACTCTTGTTCTGTAAACAACACTTATAACAGCTGTGATAAAAGTAAAAATTATGCAACCGTCCTTTTTTTTATTTCTCGTAGTCCGTCAAAGAAAGACCAATATACTGAYGGTGGATAGTTTAATCACAACTTCTATTCGTTAGAAACAATGACACAGCAAACACTAGTCTCTTGTTAAGGTCAAAAATTAAGYACAGTTTCTTCCAGTTTCCATAGGTATAACAATCACGATTTGTATAGGCACATACTGCAACAATAGCCTCATCACTTTGATGATTTTCAAACTCACCTTTCTCTAATTCCATTTTATCCTGGTACAAGGGATTTGGTATCGTTCCGTTCGGTTCGTCAGGAAGGTCGTACGGAGAATCATCTTCTTGTTTTAAAAGCGCTTTGATTTTCTGAAAGTTTGGTCTTTGAGAGGGGTCCTTGTTCCAACAGTACTTCATGATATCATAGATGTAGTTTTCACAATCGTCGGGTTTACCGAGATGAACTCCCTAAATATAAGAAAAACAAATAAAAAAAATAAAGCATAACGATGTCATTCTAGGATCAAACTGCTTGGTAAGTTCATGAAAGTTTTTTTTTGCTTAGGAACAGCTAAATGAACCTCACACTTCACTGGAAAAAATCGCGCGCTTTAAAGGTTGTAAATGTGATGTATATATGATGTAAGTGTCCAAAATGATGTAAATTTGATGTAAATCATTTCCATCAAATTTACAGCATTTTGGACACTTACATCATATTTCCATCAAATTTACAACCTTTATGGCGCGCGATTTTTTCCAGTGCTTGCTTCGCTCACTCGTGGGATGTCGATGGAACACTAGAAAATAAAATCCGTATCTCCGCGTACCCATGTAATATCCTCTGTATAAATATAAGGGAAGAGTGGAATTTTTTCAAGTTACCACAAATTGCTATAGAACGATAGTGTTGATAGGTTTAGGTACAACTTTTGYTTACAAMMATCGCATGCAACCTGCTCGCKTCTTCCCTACGACGCGAKTTGTGTCGTGTAAATCTACKCTGCGACTCAMGCAAKTCAGTTGTGTGCGACAAGAAAAAAGTTGTAGAGTTTTAAAACTTGCTTTAAAATCCTACGACAATCRCAGAGAAAAACGAGCAGACATCGCTACTGTGTAGGAGACCGTGMGGTGACTGTGGGGGTGGTAGTATTGCGAATCCAAAATGGCGGCGTCGAAAAGACTCCAAAGAAAGAGTGTGTAAAAACTTCACGGACGAGGACTAGAGCATTTAACTAGTCTATGGAGCAAAAATGAGATGAGGAACTAGAACATTTAACTAGTCTATGGAGCAAAAATTTTAATTATAGACACAAACTAGACAAAYGCTAGGAGTGCTGCAATTTAKCGATTTTTTTTTGAAAGTTTAACAATGAGTCGCGCGCGTTTAGACGATTTAGGCAAAATATCGTAGGCGTGTAATTCTGACTTACGTCGTGTTGAAGGGATGACGCGAGCAGGTCGCATGCAGTGGTTGTAAGCAAAAGTTGTACAGTCTGAATTGGCCTTGTGATGCAAATGTGTGTCAATAAGTAAGATATATTACAATTCCACATCAGTTGCGTTGATTATAATACCTTCTTAATAAAGTCTACGACCTCTTCGTTGGTGTAACCATAGTAAGGCTGTAAGGCATATGTATAAACCTCCCATAGCAATACTCCATATGAATATACATCAGACTCTACTGTAAACTTGCCGAACAGTAATGCCTCAGGCGGCATCCATCGAATGGGCATTACCGCCTGGCCCTCGACCTATAACACAAAATCATTATAGACATAAATTTCGTTTGAAGCGGATATGGAGTGTTTATTTAATTATATCATTCAGTTGTTTTATCTCTTGAAGAATCGTGAACCAGTTTTTAACGTTTTTTTTTTGATTATACAATTAGCAAATGTTCCTTCTTTCTATAGGATGAAAACACAACAAGCAGTTTTTATGTCTTTTTTTTATGAAATGGCTTTTCAAGGGTGAAGGTCAGTAGTTATAAGCTATGTTTCTGAACTATGATATAAACACGTTCATTCGCCAATCAGAGCGTCTGATACATATCTTACTAAATAAAAGATAAAGAAAAATTAATTTTCATCAAAAATAAATGATTTTACGACCTGATGAGAACGGTCAGTCGTACAGTCAAGAAACTCACATCTCACAAGGTAACAACCCACCCTATGCTCTCATGTGCGGCTGACTACATGTCATGAGTAGAAATTATGCAAACMTTATATTAAACATTATATTAAACATTATATTAAACATTTTATTATGTCAATTGTATTAAATCGTACAAAACAATTCTCATTTCTTTGCCTTTCTCCTTTTGTTTACCTTGTAGTAATCTGACGCATACACGTCACGTGACATACCAAAGTCAGCTATTTTGACGGTTAGATCGTCTCCTACCAAACAGTTCCTGGTAGCCAGATCACGATGTACTAGGCGCATTGTTTGCARATATTCCATACCATTTGCAACTTGTAGTGAGATTGATAAAAGTTCTTCTTTGGTTGGGATTTCGACTGTCAAAGACATTAAACTGAGTTAAAAATCTAGTTAAAAGTTAAAAAAAAGAGTTTAGAGTTAAAAGTCTACAGTCAAAGCATTATTTTCAATCTAATGGAAAATTCACAATATGACTGGATGGAGGTCGTAATCGAGTTGTCCCTTCTTTTGAAGTTATTCGAGAGATTTGAACATTTCTTGATCTTCTTGTAAGAGTGATATATAGACTCTTCTCCAAAATGGCCGCCATTCAACAGAACTTTTTTTTTCCAATCAGGTAGTGACAAAATAGTCCCTGCGATGTGAAAGTACAGGACACACTATGATGCTTTGTAAAGTCCGAATTACCTTAAATGAAAATCTGTAGCGATATTGGTTTTTTTTTCTATTTATTTATTTATTTATTTATTTATTTTTTTTAATGCTTATTTCAGAGAGAAATAGAGTATGTATGGGGGTATGTCTTTTAACAAACATTTCTCAGCAGTTTTGGCAGCCATTTGTATGTACCGATCTTGAACAGCTCAATAACGCGATTGTTTTATCCTAGAAACTCAACAATTCAACGCGCACTTACTAGACATTTGTATTATTGCAACAACGAACATAACTATCCGCCAAGTAAAAGCTTCTGAAGCTTTGCAGTAGTAATGTGATATAATGTGATTCATCTGATGTAAGTAWTTTTTGTTTATTCGTAACATCTTGTGATTTTTATCTTACAAAATATTTTCTTTACCTCTCTTAACCTGCGTTTCGTCGAAGACATATGGACCACGGCTTCTAAGATACTGGCTTAAATCACCATTAGCCATGTATTCAAAGATCATTCCATAAGGCTCTTCCTCGGTCGAGACAGCAAGCAGTTCTACAATGTTATCATGATGCAATACAGACATCATCGTCACTTCCTTGAGAAATGAGACCTGAAGACAGAGAACGATTATGAAAATATTTACCATGTTTGCGCTATCTGGTTTGTGACCAGGAAATTGTACATGAGTGATGTTGACAAACCGTACAGGCTCCTCGGATCCTTCATAACATATCAAGTATGGCAAATATGTTTATGAACTTATAAGACATTTCACGATTAATAACTCRACATTCAAAATTTAAGAGCTATAGTGAAAAGTATTGCCATCACTAAATAGCAAGGGGTGCCTGAATTTAATGTGAATACTTAGAGTTTGAGAACAATCAGTTTAAAATTCGATAGTTGTAAATTTTGATGGTTTTGAAGTGTTGCATCTTCTTTTAAGAAGATAAAGTAGTTAAAACTACTTTTCAACGGATTATTCTAAAAAAAACGGTGAATTTCAAAATTTTAGAACTATAATTTTATTGACTTTTCACTAGCTGCATTTCGAAGGGCCGAGTCATCCGTGACGTGCTTTGCATAAAAAAAGATAAATTTCAACAACCTAAAAAGGTAGGCGAAACAACTTACTGACGTTTCGGGTGTTATTCCTTCTTTATTCCGACGAAGGATTAACGTCGTCCTAAATATCAGTAAGTTGTTTAACCCATTTTTTTACAGTGTTAAATCTAATATCTTTTTACACAACTATTTATTTAGAAATAGAAAGACAGAGGCGGCTCGCACTTTTTTAGTGTTAGTTTTATCCGCCGTTAAATGGACATTATCCCACGAAACAACAATCACAAATAAAACCTATAGAGTGCGAGAGATTAATAAAAAAGTAAATATATATAATGAAAATAACACAGTGATAATGAATACCTTCATTTCTTTCGAGCAGCCTGACTTGAGTGTTTTCACGGCAACCATAAGCTCAGTTCCAGGTTTATCAAGAGGTTGTAGACCAAAAGCTCTACCTGAAGGGATAACGAGCAATAATTGAAAACAATTAAYATTCGAGCGTGAAAAAAATCCGTCAAACAAAACCGTGCATGATGACAATCCTAAGCTGTGACAGCAGCTAACAATCACAATTACAATGTAGGAATTTTAAACCTTAAAAAGAGTTCGAAGCATCAAGTCTTACAAGGAATACACTAATCACGTTGAACACACCTTGAAAAACCTGTCCAAAATTCCCTTCTCCCAGGTCTTTCACGTATTCCACTTTGTCTAGAGGGTACTGTATTAAATCATCAGGATTGTACAAACTCATGACCTTCATTTCGTCCAGTGCCATTATCGTGTCTGCTCGAAGTCTGTCTCTCATTGTKACAGCCGTGAAAGTCACCCCTTTGTAGTCACACTGGCTTTTAAGCTTGCGACGTTTAATGATTACAATTGCGATAATGATTGTGATTACGAGAACAACTAGCCCTACACCACCTGCTATGATAGGCACAACCAATGCAGACTTYGGTTTGGGTGTGGTTGAAGCCTGGAAATCTATGGTAAGATTAGATATTGAAGGTAAGGAGACATCGAGAACTATATGGTCAATAACTTGATCAGTAGGATATCCTAAGTAATAAGATACTCCTATCAATAAGCCCTTTCAGCGATATTGCTTAAAGGCTTTGTTAKCTTCAAAACCATGTAATATTTAACAAATAAATAAGGCTCAGCCTTATTCAGCTCGTGCTTCTTGACATTTTCTCGTGTGTTTCAAATGCCAAGCGAGCGTTTATCAGAGTATAAACCACAGGCCGAGACTTATCTATTTGTTTTATTATATAGATTTTGAGCAAAACGTAAGCGAAAATCCATTTTGTTGCCGTTTTCAAAAATCGCTCGCGCGCAATCGTGGTTTATACTCTCATAGACCACACTTTTTTAGCCAATCAGAGCGCGCGTTAGAAATCATCTATATAATAAATTCTAATATATTCTAGTATTTACCAAATAATCCAAAATGTTCACATTTTTCTTCGCTCTCTCCTGAATACTTGAACTGCGTACAATTAGGGATAACAAGGTGTACAAACTCTATGTTCCAGTTCTGAATCATATATTTTACAACAGCTAACAACTGTTTTATCTCGACGTTGCATTTCTTGAAGATAGCATCACAGTCTTCACGGCAGTAGTTCTTGGGAACGCCGTACTGATCGCATTTTGGAAGCAGAAATTGRCAAACTATGACTTTTAGTAGATATTGACAGTTTGAGTTTTGATTATCGACATGTTTGTCAATCACTCCTAGGAATTGTGATAGTATAATTTCAGTTTGGTTAATACCCTTTCGACCATCAATAAATCTAGTGACGTTGAAGCTTTCTGATTGGTTAAGATAAGCACGGCAGGTTGGTTTGTTGTACTTGATGCAATAACCACCTCTTTGTTGAGTTGTACTARTTACATAGAAATAGAAAAATAATCACAGAGTCATTAGAATTGCCAAAGGTATCAAACACACTACAAACCAACAAACTAATTGATAACGCAACTTGTCAATTATTCAGCCAATTGTTAAATAGCCATCCGACCAGCCAAACAACCAACAAACCAACCAGCTAACTAGCCAACCAAACAACCAACAAACCCACCAGTCAACTAACCAACCGAACAACTAACAAACCCACCAGCTAACTAACCAAACAACCAACCAGACGCCAAGCAACCAGCCGCCAAACTACCAGCCAGCCGGCCAGCCAGCCAGCCAGTTAGCCACCAATCTTACCTTGTAGGTTGTGTCTGTAWGATTGTTGTAACAGGGGGTCTTTGTGTTGTCATGTTTGATGTTTGTAAGCAGCTTGTAGTGTTGCTGTCCCAGCAGCATTCCGCTAAAGATATACATTCTGTTGAGTTTAATCGTCTTAAAGAAGGGCATAAACTCATCGATATGTTTACAGCAGGTTGAGGACACAAAGCTGAAGATCCTGTTACAAAAAAAACTTAACTACATGATTAATTTGTAAGACATTGGAGTAATCCCGTTAACCCGTAAAAAACCGTACTAAGTAGTATATTATTCATATTATAAATTGATTTTCGGTTCTTACTAAGGAGCTCCATAAGAAGATAATGTTTATCAAGCAAAAGCTTGATTTTTTTTTATGAAACGAACTGCTACAARCCCGTCTTCTSAGTAAAAAGGGGCAGTCGAAATGTCCCTCAAGAAAATGAGTATGTTTGAGCAAATGTTCACTTGTTTATTTATTTATTTTTCTTATTTTTATTTTTTGCTTTTTGTTTTTTTGTTTGTTTGTTTTTTTTTTTTTTATTTATTATTTTTTTTGGGGTTGGTTGAATTTCAAAATCACAATAAAATTTCCATATATATCGCGTGGAAACTAAAATGTAAAAATCTGACTTTCATGTGAACAAATCATAATTACTTAATGATATTTCTTAATAAAAACAAAAGTTTATGATGCTTTTCAGTTAATGTTACAAATATTCGCGTGATTATAGGAGAGTTAATACAAAAAAACATGCTCGCTGCTCAAAAAGTGCGTCTTTGATGACATACGAATAATCTAACTAACTAACTGCGATATTTAGAGTAGCCTTGTCGCATAATGACGTAACAACTGGAATCAGTAGACAGAAATTACGGGAACTGACAAAAGAAAAACAAAATGTTACAAGAAAACGCAGCCTYTTCCGCAGTCCTCTTTCTACTTTTGGGCTTCCTGTGTTCCTCAACATGTCTATATATGACTAAAGAAAGCAGATTTAAGAAAGCGATGCTAATTTGCTGAGAATTTCCTTTTTTCATTATGACGTCAGAGTTTGTTTACACAAGGAAACGTTGCTTGAAAGCAGTCGGAATTTRGGTCAATCTTTATTCTCTCCGAAAAAMAATATTTTGATAYATCAGTATCAAAGACTCGCATTTTATTTGATATGCAGTCACTSTGGTCCACTCTAGCAACCATWTAATCCTTAGCRTTAAAATAATAGAATGTATGCTTTGATRTGACTTCRRGATGAATGAAWTATGAGTGAATCTTGCTGAGCGAGCCTGTTCTCTATACTTTATTTAAATTATGCCGTGACGTAATTTGCAATAAAAGTTCCTACTGATTTAGATTGACGTCCTGCTTTAATTATACAAACASACTGTCAAACATAAACATGGCCTCGGTAAGTGAACTCCTTTTAAGGTAAAGCCAAAATAGCCAAAAATTATTTGAAATCACATACATGTGATTGAATTGATTTTCCGAAAGGGAAGTTCTTTAACTTACCCTCCTGGTCCCAGAGGTTTGATATTTCCTCTCTTCGTATCAACCTCTGGGACCAGAGGGCATCTTTAACTCGGTTGTGAACGGAGACCTTTGAAATAAAATTTTAGTTGAAAAAAAACCCCAGCAATATAATAATTTCCCTAAGCCCGTGAAATGCATTACACTTCATTACTTCTATATGTGACACATTTTTCTTYTTCTTGTAGGTGTATCACATTGTATTGCACTTTGAACCTTTAACTTTGTTTCACGCGTTAATGACAATGAAAACATTGAAATTATTGGTTTCATACTTAATCAAATAAAAACTCCCATCAATTAAATTGTGCGCWATATTTCTGATGTCATCAGACCTCCATTGTTGATAAGATCGATAATACATGATCAACATCCCACAAATGTGTTAGAAAACGAAAGACAATGGGMATTTTCTGACATTTCACGGGTATGTGTGCTAATTCTATTTCACAAGCATTATATCTACTAATATTCAATTTTGCTCAACAGAATAAGAATAAATACAGATATCTACGTATATATATTCAGATAAACAGTTCTTACATAATGCTTACAGTATCWTATTTTGTTCTAAGATAAAACAATATAAAACAGGATTAACACTCAATATTTAAACGATAAAAATTAATTCGTTACTTAAGTAAATAATTATCAATCAAAAACTTTTTAGTCTCGGCCGTCTTATATATGATCGGAATATAAAATGAGCACAAAAATTATGGAACATTTTTTKGGGGAAATTGCACAATTCATTATAATAATAAACATGTTATCACTTTACAACTGACTTTCAAGATTACAACTGTATTTCATAATTGTATTCTATATATTTTTTGTGGGAAATTGCGCAATTCATTATAATAATATGTTATCACTTTACAACTGACTTTCAAGATTACAACTGTATTTCATAATTGTATTCTATATATTTCCCGACGCGTGTAATTGAAAGTTATGTTCTAAATTTAATCTAATTTTAAAGACATTACCTGTATTGAAGTTCATTATAACTACGAAGGTCACTAGAATAATGCTATGTCGGGTCACATAAGCTCCCTTGATATGTGCTCCCATTGCCCGGCACTCTTGAAATCCTATAATTGATTGATAATACCTGTAAACTCTACGGGGAATTAGTCAAAGTGGATAAACTTTAGTTTTCTTCAAGTATTTGTGGTCTTTGAGATCTTTGAGAAGAATTTAGTTCCAAAGTCCTACAATGTTTTCTTGCACAACAGAATAGGAGCCGGTTAAAGCTTGTTTTGGAGACTCACCCACCAATCATGTCTTATGTCAATCATTGCTGTTTGCAAACTGATTATATTGGTTACTAATCAGTAATCTAGCTATTACAAAATTATCTACAGGGACCCCAACAATATTAACAAGCTCAGTTTTGTTCCGCTGACGTCATAGAACATTTAAATTTATAASAACCAGAAKGAAAGCGCTTGTGGATCAGTTAATATGTACCTTGCKAAAGTGARCCAGTCAGATTGCACAAAATCCAACATTCATAGTATAATTCTGCTGCCCGTCCTCTAAACTTAAGAATAACTTGCTGTATGTAATAATTTAATTGTTTGACTTTTAAATCGTTTTAATTTGGGCCCGCTGTAATTGGCTCTTCTGTTGCGGTGTCCTCTTTGTTATTATAGTGTTTGTATRATATTTATTTATGTATGGATCCATGTGGCAGTTACAGTTTATTGGGCGAAGCTAATAAAATAATAAAAATAAAAATAAATTACAGGATATTACATTTAGGTCCTAACACAGATGTTTGAAAGGACAGGCAGATTTCGCGGATTATAACACATCTTCAGGTTTCAATCAAAGAAAATATTGACATGAAATAAATTACTGTCAAAAGCTGGGGGGGTCTCCCTAATATAAAAGGGCGGGGGTCCTCGACGTCCTTTTTAGGGTTTGAAATTAGTGTTTTGGTCCCGCTTAGGGTGATAATGATTAAAATTCCCACCAACTGAATTTTGTGGTCCCTTTTAGGGTATACGACGGTCCTAACGATTTGTATATGACACAACATCGTCATAATCTCAATAAGAGCARACGGCATTTGATGCTTGTGCAAGAACRAAAAYAAAATAGAGAAACCAAAACAAAATRACATGTTATTGATTGGTCCCCTCAGGGGTGAGAGCACTGCCACRCCCATCCTCTCACAATACAGGTCCCTTATTGGGGTCCTTTTCAGAATTTCGGACGAGGACCCCCGCCCTTTTTAACTCGAAGATTGCGAAGTAATCGAAGAGTTATTGGAGGGGGATGAATCTGTAACTTACTAACTCACTCACTCACTTTCCTGTAAACTTGATCCTGCGATACTTGTGTTCACAATTATTTATTATATTATGTTATAGTAATTTATTCACTAATTTTTCTTTACTGGTTTCCCTGTGCTATATCTGATTGAATTTATTTATTTCTTGGCAAATAAAGAAATCAAAGAAATATGGGTCATCTGGGATATGAACCTCGGCCCGCTGGATCGGAAATCAAAGGCACTACCGATTAGGTCACGCGTGCTAATGTTACACAATATCGGCTAGACTTGTCTTTTGTAACTGGAAGGCGCTCGCCCCTGCTTGTCTAGAATCAAAGTTAAAATAATATTTTAACGAAAAAATCTGTGTTCAAATATCGTTTACTTAAAATTCTATTTGTAAAGTAAATCTAATTTGATTCGTTGTATTGTTCAGTCACAAAGGAAGCATGAGGAAGACTCGCCGATCCGACTAATTCGTCTCGAAAATCATTTTACGTGTTTTATTTATCCACGTTCGTCTACAATTCAAAAAAATGTATTCGCTCGCTACCGTACTATTACATTGTAATATTTGATATATTGTTCATTGTGTGGTTAGATATCCATAATACTATTTAGAGCCGCTACGGAAACTGACAATCAATAGTAGCGTCCAGTGCCGGATCCAGGACTTTTCAAAGGGGGGTTCCTCTTTGTTTTCGCATTTTTCTAAAACGAACTTTTTTTACGGTGCCTCTCGAACTGTAGCAAATGTAGTGTGAATGTATTGAATAAAAATTCATTGTACGATGCGTTTTCATTTTATTTCATTTATCATTTATTTTATTTTTTACTTTTTTT